AGTCAGGAAGTTCTTTCTAATGTTCAGATGGAAACTCCTTTCTTGTAGTGTAAAGCCAGTATTCTGCGTCCCAGTCTCCAGGGCAGCAGAAAACAAGAATGTTTATGATGCATGTTTAAAAAGGGTCTCACCAACAGGAAATGTTTGGAAAGCTCTGGTATCAATGTATCCTGAGTTCAACATAGCTTTAGCTACCAATCAGTTTACATTTCCTTGCTATTACAGGTGTTCTAGTATATTAGACTACCTTTAAACTGCTATTTCAGTACTGAAAACAGATATAATCCTTTTGGCAGGATTGCAGTCCAGGATGGGATGCATTTGTAGTTCACGTGGATCGCTAATTCAGTGAAGAATGTCACCTCCAGAGCAATAAAACTCACTAAACACAGAGAAAGAAGGAATTAATTTTTGGAGGGAGTTGGCAACATCTGCAGAAGCAAGTTGAGAATCTACATTAGGTTTTCAAAATTGCATACTGTCACTGCCATTTTCAAATTTTTAAAACCCTGCTCTGTCTAGACTGAGTACAGAATTGAGACCACATGAATATTAAATAAAGCACATGAGATTTATTGCAGAATGATGTAGGACCTTTTCTTCTTCAAAATGTATTGGTTAGGCTTAAAGAGAAAACAATGGCCTTTTAATCTGACCCCACACAAGATTTATTTTAAGTATGCATTTCAATCTTGTTATAAATTCAGTTTTTGTTGTTGTTTTTGTTGTATATATACCCCTGCTGTCCTCTCTAAAACAAGACCTCAAGTGGCTCACAACATTAAAAACAATGCAATTTAAATCCTGTGATATGTAAGTATTAAAATAACATTTTGATTAAAATTGGATTATGTTGCAAATATTTTGGTGTCACTGGGTTGTTGTGAGTTTTCCGGGCTGTATGGCCATGTTCCAGAAGCATTCTCTCCTGACTTTTCACCTGCATCTATGGCAGGCATCCTCAGAGGCTGTGAGCTCTGCTGGAAACTAGGAAAATTGGGTTTATATATCTGTGGAATATCCAGGGTGGGAGAAAGAACTCGTCTGTTTGAGGAAAATGTGAATGTTTAAATTGGTCATCTTAATTAGCATTTAATGGCCTTGCAGCTTCAAAGCCTGGGTGGTTGCAGCCTGGGGGGGGGGAATAAACCTCACTTGCTTAGTTTCCAACAGATCCCTCAACCTCTGAGGATGCCTGCCATAGATGTGGGTGAAACGTCAGGAGAGAATGCTTCTGGAACATGGTCATACAGCCTGGAAAACTGACAGCAGCCCATTTATTCTGGCCATGTAAACCTTTGACAGTATTTTGGTGTCACTTTCTACTGTATATGGCTCTTTTCCATTTACATACAAATAACTGCAATCCTAGACGTTTAGCAACTAAATTAAGTGAAGTTCATTTTTAAGGAAACCAGCACATGATTGCACTTTAGGACATCTGTCAGGAAGACATCAAAAAATGGACCCAGACTTGTATAAGATTTATATAATTTTAATTTAAAAAGAGAAGTATCTGGCAAAGCCCATAAAATTTGCCCACTATTCATATGGTCAAAGCGGCTTAAGGTACTATGAAGACAGGGTTTTTAATATTTTTCTCTATCTATAGTGAAGAGCGTGAGTTAAAAATAATGAGGGGAAAGAACATCCAGTTCTCCTTTTATCTAATATTAGTGGGAGGGAAAAGAACTTTTCAAAATAAAACAGTTTCATTTCTGAAAATCATACAAATAACAATGCATTATAATACAAACCTTGATGTTCTATACATCAATATAGATGACTATTTACAGTTTTTGCAACTAAGTTACATGTTCAATCTGTACTTCAATCTAGATCACTCTCCCCATAAAAGGAGGGAAAAGAGCTTTAAGAATATTATTTGCATCACATTATGAAGAGATTTAGAAGAAGAAGAAAAAGCTCAAGACATGCAACTAATCTAGTAAGGGGGAGTGGGGTAAGATAACCTTTTAAAATTATTGATGCATCTCCATAATACTTGGGATTATCCCTAGGCAGTAAAGTCAAGGAATCCAACACAGGTTGAGTATCCCTTACCCAGAATTCTGCAATCCAAAATAGTCCAAATGTGTGGTTGAGATAGTGACACCTTTGCTTCCTGATGGTTCAAAGAACTCATGCACAGAATTATTAAAACCATTGTATATGAAATGACCTTCAAGTAACCTGCATAAGTTGTATATGAAACATAAATTAATTTTGTGTTTAGATTTGGGTATGTAAATATACTGCTAAGCTGCTGAACTTGCTAACCGAAAGGTTGGTGGTTCAAATCCAGGGAGCAGGGTGAGCTCCCAGCTTCTGCCAAACTAGCAGTTCGAAAACATGCACATGTGAATAGATCAATAAGCACCGCTTATGTAGTAATGTTGGCCACATAACCTTGGAGACATCTATGGACAATGCCGGCTCTTCGGCTTAGAAATGGAGATGAGCACCACCTCCCAGAGTTGGATTCGACTTGATTTAATATCAAGGGGAAACCTTTACTTTATATGGAAATTGAAGTATTCCAAAATGGGGGGGGGGGGCACCAAAATCCAAAACACTTCTAGTTCCAAGCATTTTGGATAAGGGACACTCAAGACATTCTGGTAAAGCCAGCAATGGGAATAAGGGAAAGAGAAGCAAAATAACACCTTTAAAATGACAGTTACACATCTATAGTACTTAGACTTATGAGTAATATTAGTCCCACACAAGAGAGTCATGTCAAGGAGCCCACTATATGTAAATATAGCAACTGGCTATTCAGTCAAAAGGTCAAATGAACCTGGTTGTGAAGCTGCATTCTGTTGCCCTGTGTGTGACTGTAATTTAGATTTCCTGAATTGGAGCCGGATGACAGGAAGACATGATTAAACCAAGAAAACAGAGTGGATTAGAACGACTTCAACTGTCTACAGTTTAAAACGGGTTTAAAAAATGCAAGCTGATCAACCAGGCAAGAGGGAAATAACTACATCCTCGGGCCCCTTCCTTCTTTCACAACCTGCTGCGCAGCAAAACAGGAAGAGCAACAAACACAGGTCACGGCAGCTGCAAGGAAGGGTGCCTCTCTTCCAACCTTAACTAAACTTTAGGGACATCCACACTGTAGAATTAAAGCAGTTTGATTCCACGTTGACTGCCATGGCTCAATGCCATGGAATCCTGAGAGCTGCAGTACAGCAAGCCATTGACACTTTCTGATGGAGAAGGCGAACGAACATGTCAAACTACAACTTCCGCGATTCCATAGCACTGAGCCATAGGAAGTTATCAAGTGGTATCTTGACTGCATTCCTTCTACAGTCCCTTGCTCACACCCATATTTACTTTATTTCCTAACAAGTTAAAAAAACCCCGACAAAGACATGTGTTTGGAAGGCAGTGAAGACAAGGGGTGTGCCTGCAATACAGGCTGCATGCAGCTTGACTCCACTTTCACTGCCATGGCCCAATGTTATGGAGTCTTGGGAGTTGTAGTTTGGCGAGGCACCAACACTATAAAGACCTTGTAAAACTACCAGCCCCACAATATTATAGCATTGAGTTATGGGGTTCTTTGACACTGAGGGATTAATAATTTAAAATATTATTTTGCTAGCTATATTATGATATATGTGTTCTGTAGGATGATTTTAGATGATTGTGTATTTTAGTGATATTGTAACCTGCTTCGAGCCACGAGGAGAGGCAGGTAAGAAAATTAACAAAGTCCGGCTACCAGTATTGAAAATCTCTAAAATCAGAACAGTAAATAAAGAACAATACTCAAAAACAGGGGAATTCCAGGCAAGAATCAATCAGGGCCTGCTAACACCTCCCAACAAAGGACCCCCAGGCAGGAAGCAGCCAGGATTTGAAGCTGCAAGGCCAGTAAATGCTAATCAAGGTGGCCAATTGCAACATTCACACCTGCCTCGGGCAGGTAAGAGTACTTTCTCCCACCCTGGACAATCCACAGATACATAACCTCACTTGTCTAGTTTCCAGCAGACCTCACAACCACTGGGACCACCATGACTGGCTTGTGCCAGAGTCTTTGTAGTTCGATCTTTAAATATTATTATTATTATTATTATTATTATTATTATTATTATTGATATAATAAACCAATCGACACATGTTCTTTAGCTCTCACAACTAATGCCTAGCAACCTGGGATGCATCTACACCAGGCATGGGCAAACTTGGTCCAGCTGGGTGTTTTGGACTCTAATTCCCACCATTCCTAACAGCCTCAGGATCTTTCTTTTCCCTCCTTCCCTAGGACACGGAACAATGGCTTCAAACTACAAAAAAGGAGATTCCACCTGAACATGAGGAAGAACTTCCTGACTGTGAGAGCCGTTCAGCAGTGGAACTCTCTGCCCTGGAGTGTGGTGGAAGCTCCTTCTTTGGAAGCTTTTAAACAGAGGCTGGACGGCCATCTGTCAGGGGTGCTTTGAATGCAATATTCCTGCTTTTTGGCAGGGGGTTGGACTGGATGGCCCATGGGTATCTTCCAACTCTATGATTCTATGATCCTCAGCTGCGTATGCAGCTAGGTTTTGAAGCTGCAAGGCCATTAAATGCTAATCAAGGTGGCTAATTGCAACATTCAAACAGACAAGAGCTTAAGCAACTGAGGGGAGAAAGGGAAGGGTCCTGAGGCTGTTTGGAATGGTGGGAGTTAGAGTCCAAACTCCTGGACCCAAGTTTGCCCAGGCCTGACCTATACTGTAGAATGAATGCCCTCTTCGGAAGAGAAGACCTTCTGAAAAGATACCTCCCAGGACCCCACAGCATTGAGCCAAGGCAGTGATGCCATTCATTCAGGATGCAGTCAGAGGCAGGCAGACCTTGTGATCTCACACTCACACCCACAATTCTGCCATGGCATGAAGTGGTATCAAACTGCATCCATTCCCCAGTGCAGACGTGGATCTAGAGGCTGGAAGAAGGTGGAGAGAGGCCCCCTGCAGACCCACCCACCTTTCCAGGCTCACCTGTTCGGCACCCGTGGCTTCAGCTTCTTCCTCCCCAGGCTGATCTGCTTCCTCTTCCTCTTCCTCGGCCCCCTCTCCTTCTCCTTCTCCATCAGCCTTGCTTGCCGCAGGGAGCGGCTCCTTCTCCGGCTCTTGCTCCTCTTCCTGAGCCGGGTGCGCCTCTTCTCTTCCTCCTCCTCCTCCTCCTCCTCCAGAGCCTTCCTCTCCCTCCTTCTCTTCTTCCTCCTCCCCCTCTTCCTCTTCCTCCTCCTCCTCCTCCATCGGCCCTCCTTGCAGCTCGGGCTCGGAGTCGGTCTCCCAGGTGGAGTCGCAGTCCTCCACGGTGGCGGGCTCCTTGAAGCTGACCCCGCTCAGCAGGCTGCCCATTGGGAGGAGAGGAGGAGGAGGAGGATGGAGGAGGAAGAGGAGGAAGGCGAGCAGGTGGATGCCACCCGGGCATGGGCTCAGCCTCCAGAGGATGGCCAGCAGCAGGAGGAGGAGGAAGAGGAGGAAGAGGAGGAGGAGGAAAGGGAAGCAGGAGCGACAGCTGGCGAGGCTCTTCTGCTCCTCCTCCTCCTCCTCCGTCAGTCAGTCCCCAACCCACAAACACGCAGGAGGAGCAGAAGGAGGAGGAGGAGGAGCCCAGTGCTGTGGGATTTCCACAGGAAAACACTCAACCCAGCAGGAATGAGGAAGCTCAGGACAGGCAGTCCCCAAGTTACGAACAAGAGGGGTTTTGTAGTTGGGTTTGGACCTAAGTCGGAACAGGGACCTTGACTCAATGTAACCAGTCACGTTTTTTTTCAAAATCCAATGATCACAGGGAGAGAAAGGGAAGGGAAATCTTGATGTCTGCACAGACAGCAAAACAAACACCGCATGGGGGGGTTAACCCTTCCCTATGCTATCCACAGCTACTGTGTGTATACCTACGTACATACATATACATACATATATACACACATAGTAGCTTTGGAAGGATTAACCCTCCATGCGGTGTTTGTTTTGCTGTCTGTGCAGACATTAATATTTCCCTTCACTTTCTCTCCCTCTGATCATTGGATTTTGAAAAAATGTGGCTTCTTGTGGAAACAAGGATTGGTGTGAATGCTTCAGTGGAGGCATCTTTAATGTTACTATATTATTATTACATGTACGTAACAACATACTAGTACACATTCGGTCCAAGTGTCTGTGGGCCCTTCCACACAGCCACATAACCCAGAATATCAAGGCAGAAAATCCCACAAAATCTGCTTTGTGATGGGTTATTTGAGTCCATGCTCAGATAATGTGGTATTTCCTGCCTTGATATTCTGGGATCTAGGGATGTGTGGAAGGGCCCTTCCTGGAGATAGATTTCCTCTCACTTCTTGTTGTCTCTGGGCCCTTCCACACAGCCATATAACTCAGAATATCAAGGCAGGAAATCCTACAACATATGCTTTGAGCTGGGTTATCTGAGTCCACACTCCCATATAACCCAGTTCAAAGCAGATAATGTGGGATTTTATACATCTGTATGGAAGGGCCTCACCTCCTGCTTGTAACTCTGAGTATTACAAAAGTTGGGTGTTTGTCACTCTAGGACTAACTGTATGTAGACAGGCAGAGATGGCATTTACACTGCAGAATGAATGCAGTTTGCCTACTGCTTTCACTGCCAGGGCTTTTTTTATAAAATGTGTCAGAAGCGACTTGAAAAACTGCAAGTCACTTCTGGTGTGAATTGGCAGTCTGCAGAGACGCTGCCCAGAGGGTGCCTGGATGTGTTACCATCCTGTGGGAGTCTTCTGTCATATTCCCACAAGGGAAGCTGGAGCTGACAGATGGGAGCTCACTTCATCTCGCAAATTCGAACCGCCTCAATCAGGCCTGTAGCCAGTATTTTGATTTGGGGGGGGCTGAGTTTGATTCGGGGGGCTGAGTCAGGGTGAAAGAGGGTCTACCCTAGCAAACCTTTTGTATCATTATCCCAATACCCCCATACATATGGGATATATTGAGCATGGTGATCAGATCATGATATGAATAAACATAACAGTTTAAATAATGTACCAGTAAGGCCTTCTCGCGGACCACCATGAGAATTTGGGGGGGGGGGGGGCTGAAGCCCCCACACCCCCCCCCCCGGGCTACATGCCTGGCCTCAATGCAGTCTTGGGAGTTGTAATGTTACGTGGTCTTCTTCGGCCCTCTCTGCCAAAGAGTGAGGATGCCTCACCAAAATACAGCTCCCAGGATTGCGCCAAGGCAGTTAAAGTGATGCCAAACTGCATTCATTCTACACTGTAGAAGTTGCCCCAGTTCCAGCAAAAGGGGCTCCCACCACACAATATTTTGCAAGTCAAAGAGGGAAAAGAACACTTTTCAAATAAAGTCGGAAGTATACAAAAAATATATCAAACATGATTTTTCATCTTTCTGTAACTTTTGTTTCTCATATATATGCGCTTTGATCCAGTTGAGATTCAGCTACATAACTGCAAAGTGGTCCCTGGTTTGCTGTCCTCTGCTAATTTCAAAACTATACAAGGAGAGAGAAAAGAGTAGAAGACAGATCAATACAAATGTGGAAAAAGAAAGAGAAAAATGACTTGTGGGGTGCATCTCAACTGTAGAATTAATGCAGGCTGACACCACTTTACTTGCCATGGCTCAACTGTATGGCACCATGGGAGCTGTAGTTTTAGCTTTAGCCCTCTCTACCAAAGGCTACCAGTGCTTCACCTGATGAAACAGCCGGATGCCTGGCATTTTTACTCATTTACACAATACCAAAAAAGTTGATGAGAATGAAAACGTGAGAAGATGCAGGGTGTGACTGATGAAATAATTACTCTTTCCCTTTAAGGCCTCTTTGCCATTAGTTTATAACAGAACTGGAATAATTGCACCTGGATTATCCAGCCCAGAGAAAGATTTCCCCTGCTGAATTTCTCTCCCTCATGCAGTTGGTAAAAACATAAAAGAGAGAGAGCATTAGTCCTACATTTCCTGGGTAGTTGTGGATGTTGGCAGCTTCTTGCAATGACGACAAAAAACACTAAATTGGATAATAAAAGGTCACAACTTTATATGGTTACTAGGGTTGGTTAGGTTCGCTTGGATGCGGCGTAATTAGGAAAAAGTTGGATGTTTTTGCCTTCCGAAGGGACTTCCACCATGTTTCCATGAGGCTATAATCCCCTATAGTTTCGACTTGACTTGCTTGCTTGATTTCAGGGATACGAAAGTGAGTCGAAACTATGATGAAGGGTTTTTTAATGCAATTAAGTCAGCTGGGAGGTGAAGCCTAAGCTGCTTGCCTCCCAGCCAATCAGGGGTTATTTTTTGGGGAGGAGAGGGGTTTCCAGTATCCGGCAGCCATTGCTGTATATAAAACCAAGCACATGGCTATTGTTGCTGCTGCTGCTTGTTACTGTTGGGTGTGGGGTGGAAGTAAGGGTTTGGAGCCAGAGGAAAGGAGGTTTGGATAATGGAGGAAGGCAAAGGAGAAGGGAAGATTTTGAGAGATGAAGGGTTTGGAGCCAGAGAAGAGAGAGAAAGAAGGAAAAGTTTGTTTGGGAGGCAGGGAGAAAGTCTTAAAAATTCAAGGAGGTAGCTCTTTTATTTTTATTTTAGTGAATTTTAATGAATTATTTCTAAAATTGTTTTTAAAAAATCTTGAAAATTGGTGGATCATCTGAACATGTTGAAATTTGGTGTTCTAACAGAGGAGGATGTGTTGCAGTAGTATAACAAGTTTCATCAAGATTGGTGTAAAAATGAGGGAAGGAGAAGGCCCTGGAGCTTCCTGAGTAACAGTGTTGTTATCCGCATATTGCGCAATCACGTCTGCCATTAACAAATCGATTTGGAAGTTTTGAAAGCCCCCAGTTGGCGTGAGTACCCAACTGTCAGCCCAGCTCACTGTTTACCTAAGCAGTTAGAAAACAGCTTGAGCTGTAAGTAGAGAAATTAGGTATTGTTAAACAAGCGGGGGAGGTATTTTACGACATCATAAAGAAAAATATCATAAAATGCCCAGCGACCAAAAGGAAGGAGGAAGTCCTGATGGCTCTTCGTCATAGAGGAGCAATAATACCCCCCTGTGGCTGGATTCGAGCACAACCTCCATGGCGCCAAAAAGCTGGATGTCAACACAACATATCTCCTTTCTGTTCTGTCTGTCCAAAACAGCATTGAATGTTTGCTGTGTATGTGTACTATGGTCTGCCCTGAGTCCCCTTGGGGAGTTAGGGTGGAATATAAATAAAGTGTTATTATAAACTGAATTCATTCTAAACTGAGGCCCCATCTACACTGCTGTATAAAATCCAGGTTATCTGCTTTGAACTGGATTGCATTTGTCTACACTGGCATGTAATCCATTTCAAAGAAGATAATCTGGATTTTATATGGCCATGTAGAAGGGGTCTGAGAGATGCTTGCAAACATTTCTAGTAGTGATAACTGTGAGTAATGGAAATCTTGTGGCTAAAGGGGTTGGACTTTATATACAGACCTTTACTATATGGTCTGTTCATGATTTCCTAAAGGAACGCGGATAATAGAAGAATAGGCCTCAATGATTAATTATATAAGTCTCAATTAATATTTTGTTCTCTTGTAAAGGTATATCGCACAAAGGGCATGCAATGTAGTTAATGTTGGATATAACGTTTCTCTCGGGAAAGCTAATGAAATTCATATTTGATGGAACTGCTGTCAAATGGATACAAAATGGGATTAAAATTAAACAGTGTAATTATGCATTGTGCAATAACTAGTTGAGAGGAGGTGTCAAATAGACTTCTGAAAGGAATACCAAGGATCACTGATTCATTAGCAACTTGGAAGTTGAGATGGAGAGTCATGCCAATTCAATATTAAAGTAATAAAAAGCTAGCAAAGGTTACAGATCTCATGGAGAGCAGGGACTGAATTCGTTATGTTCTGAACAAATGGAAGAAATTCAATATATAAGAGTCTTATTAGAATGAGATTTAATCAAGATCATGTAAATTACTTCTTGTAAGATACCAAAATGGGCAAATGTAGGACTGCGACATGCTTGATAAACTCTAAAATTTGATAGAGAAAATGTGCGACAACTCTAGTAACATAATTTGGTTTCATTTACTATATGAGGTCTGACCGAGAATAAAAGATTTGAAAAGTTCCCACATGAGAAGGCATAGTTCTGACTCTTCAAAAGACATTCAAGAAGATCATATTTGTCCCTTGACCAATTCCTGGAAACTATAGATAGACCTTTAGACCAAATTTATTAATAAAATATATTTTAAAAAGTTATGTATCTGAATACTAAATATAACATTTTTATGTTACAATGTTTTCTGTTCTAGTTGTTGACTTTTGTCATTCTCCAGCAAACAACCTCTGAGGATGCCTGCCATAGATGCAGGCAAAATGTCAGGAGAAAATGCTTCTAGAACATGGCCATATAGCCTAAAAAACCTACAACAACCCAAACATGGGCACTTCAGGACAATCAACATTTAATGGGACTGGAAGAAATAATTTAAAATATTTGATTACTTTTTTTCTAATGGATTCAGAAATTAAGGCCAGCAGGTTTAGGCAAATAGCAATTGTATA